TGAGAATAACTTTCATCTTTTCTTCAACTGAATACTGTTTCCGTGCTATTTTTATGTATTTTAAAGAGTTGGCAGTCACAATTAAAACTGCTGGATGATAGATATTCTTCATTCTTTATGACAAACAAGATAATGTGAATTACAGAATGTACAACATTTTTAAAATGTATAAATGGCGGTGTACAGCGTTTATTATGAGGGGGTAGAATCCAAAGCTCAGTACTCACTACTCAATACTCGTGAGTACTTTTAAATAGGCTACTTTTTTACTCTTACTCAAGTAGTTTTTTGGACAAGTACTTTTACTCTACTCACACTACATTTTTTGGAAGGTAATGGTACTTTTACTTGAGTATATTTTTTCAGTACTCTTTCCACCACTGAGTATCAGTGATATCACGCCTCCAAAACACATACCAGAAGCTCATAAAAAGAATGTACATCTCTTATAAATATTCATGTTCTCTCATAAAAGCATTGAGTCTCCCTAAAACAGTAGGGGGGCAACAAGGGGGACTTTCAAGGGGGCCTCAAGATTACTTTAAATGATTTAATATTAGACATAAGCATTAAAATAAGGCAACTAAAAATCTAACTATTTCAAATTCACCCCCACAATTTTATTTATTTCTTTTATTTTTATTATTTTAATAATAATAATGATATAGATTTATAGAGCAATATATAGTTTAATCAAAAAAATAATAATAACCATGAATATTACTAGTAGTTTAGTATGTTTTAACTTAACTATAAAAATAAAGACCACAATATATTACTGTTGTAAATTACAAGATTTCTTATTTGATCATTATAATAATGAAATGTGCAGAATAACTTTGAAACATGCAGCACATCAGACTATATCCCATTTATTTATAGCCCCATTTATTTACAGTATTTTAATTTTACATTCAGTATTATTAATCATTAGCTTTTTCGACAACTAATGAACAATGTGCAGGTCCCTTGCAAACTCCCATTTGGTAAACCCTGCCAATATGTTTAATGTTTAATATGTTTAATGTGTATAGGTGACTACAGTGTGTATAAAAAGCTAATAAAAGTCGTGTGTGGCGCTGTATGCTATATGGGACTGATGTTGTGCCACAGATGAAATCAAACTCTCTTCTCAATCCTGCACAGGTAACCCTGCCCGCTCCACACCTGAGACCGGAGTGCAACCTGGGAAACCTGACCCGCCCCCTATAACCAGACACCACGGCTACAATTCCACAATGCGCTTGTTTACAGGTTATTAAGCATTTCCTGCAGCACTATCAGTGGAGTAAAATACTTCCACCACACCCCTTTTGAGATTCTTTCTCCACCCCATGATCACTCTAATATAGTCCCACAAAAAGATAAATTTAGACCCTGTCTTGGCAGTTGCCAGGCCCGTTGATATATATAGCTTTACTTAAATCACCTGGGTCCAGTTGCAGATAATATTCAGCTATCTGCCATGACCACACAACCTCGGACGAAATTCCATATCACACACATACAGTTCATACCCGCAAACTCAGGTTAAATAAACATACAAGCACGCAATGCCAACATATATACATAGTTGCAGGCATATCACATGCTCATGCACTCACAAAAAACAATCAAAACGCACACTCGCACTGTAAAACAATCAACTGTGAGTAATTTGTGGTGTAAGATGTAAACGCAACATTCAGTTACACACCTCATTACATTCAACAAGCACTATGTACACAGAACTGCTGATATTTGAGAGGTGCCATCCGGCCCCCTATTTAGACATGGTACGATCCAGTTAAACGTAGTACTGTTTTGTGGCCCCCAATAGATTTGAGTATAAAATCAATCATATGAATTCATGCACACACTAGGTCTCACCTATCTGGCAGGTCTTGCCAGTCCACTGTGGGAGGCATAAACATTCAAAGCCATGCTCCAGATCAAAGCAGGTCCCCCCATGAGCGCACGGGTTTGACATGCACTCATCTTTGTCTGAAATGTGCACACACGAATGAAAAACATATCGAAAATTTAAATAAATATGCATAATATGTACATTTCTAGTATAGTCTGCCTCATCTAGATTCAATAAAAAGTGAATGACTTCTGACCTTTAGCACAAGTTGGGCCATCCCACCCTGGGGGACACTGGCACTCAAACCCTGATACCAGCTCATGACATGTCCCACCATTTGCACATGGGTTTGACATGCACGCATGCTCGGCTGTAAGGTACAAACACACACACACACACACAATTTGGTATACCTTGTTAAACTCAAATCGCAGGTTGGCATAAGCATTTCTTATCTATATATTATTTTTGCCATTCCTACATTTCTATATAAAGATTATTCTATTAAAGGGGTCATATGACGTTGCTAAAAATAACATTATTTTGTGTATTATGTGTAATGCAATGTGTTTATGCGGGTTAAGGTTCAAAAACACATTATTTTCCACATACTGTACATTATTGTTTCTCTTCTATGCCCCGCCTTTCTGAAACACGTCGATTTTTAAAAAAGCTCATCGTTCTGAAAAGCAAGGTGTGCTCTGATTGGCCAGCTATCCAGTGCGTTGTGATTGGCCGAATGCCTCAAGTGTGTGACGGAAATGTTACTTCCCTTACCATACTGTGATGCCGTGTCCCAGCGCGATGAGACAAAACCAATGAAACCCATCACAAACGAGGCATTTGTTGCATCCAGTGGTGACATAATTACTGATTATAATGACTTATACTGTCT